CTCGGTGCCCGGCCCCGCAGCGCTTCCTGCTAGTCCGTCGACCGGCTCCTCCTCCAGGCCTCCCCCGCCGCGCTCCCGGGAGGCCGGAGGACCGGCCCGAGGGCTCAGGCAGCTACGGGGCACCATCTTCTCGGGCGGCTCCGGCAGCGGGCTGCCCACGGCTTCGGACAAATTGGAGACCCTCTTGCCAACCAGAGTGCCAAGCTGTCCCCCATCCAAAAACATAACCATGTCCTTTCGGCTCTCCATCCCAGAGCTCTCCGGAGGGAGGAGGGGGAAAGCCCCAAGTGAGCTCCTAGCCCCCGGGTCCCCGGGTCCCCAGAGGTCCGACAGATCTTGGCTGCGGGAGGGAGAAAGAGAAGCCAGGCGACGGGATGGGCGCGGAGCGGCCGGAGCGCGATGTCGACGGGGAAGGCGACCGTGGCGGTGGGGAGCTGGGGTCACCTTGTGATGCGACCGCTCCTCTGCGCCGCACCGCCTCTGGGAGGAAGCCCCATTGCCCTCTTCTTTCTAAGCTGTCATCCTCCTGGTGCAATCGTCATTACAGTACCGCTGGTGACGCCACTCGGCGAGCGCGAGTGGATAAATAGAAACGTCTGCCACAGCGAAGATGAAAGGAGCCCCGCGGCTAATGGCTCGGCAGTGATGCGCCAGGTGTGGGCCTCGCTCGAATGGGGAGGAGAGTGTGAACACAGAGAGACACACACACTGAGAGAGGGAGACACCCAGGCAGGATGCAAATGGAATTCCGCAGAAAGCAAGCGGGGCGCGCGGCGCGCGGCGAGTACCGCAGGGGCTGCGGGGCTCGGTAATTGAATACGCTTTTGATTTTTTTTTTTTATTGTGGTTTCGGCTTTGGTTTTCTTAACTTGGTGCCTTGATCTAACACTGATAAGAGAACCCATAACCCTATTTTCGGAGTGTGAAGACCCAGTCACGAGGCTCGATTCTACCGGCCTTATTACAACCGCCCGTCCCTGGCGAGCTAACCTCAAACGGGCTCCAGTCTTTTTACAAGCTACCGAAAAAATATTCCCGGGCCACCCCCAAGTGGTCTGGAGAGCTTGAGCCCGGGGTATCCTTTCCGCTCCCTTCCCCCTCCTCCCTCCTACCCACAGCTACCTCCCTCCTCCTGGGAACCAAAAAATAATAATAACTGTGCTATTTTTCTTCCCTCACAGGGCAAGAGATAAATGTCTTAAATTTTTTCTTTAACGACCCGCCTTGGCTGCTGACTCACAATGTTTGCTGATTTCTTTTGTAATCTCCCCCCTCCCCTTCTAGGTGGCCTCAGGCTTTCTGTGGCCCGGCGTGACCTCCAGGTGTATTCGTAGAAGAAAACAGAAGAAATCGCTCTCGCCTTTGCTCGGGCCTCGCCTACACTTCAGGTATGTAGGGTGGGGAGAGGTTCTAAGAGTGGCCTTTTCTTCTTTTCTTGCCCACATTTTAAGGTATTCATCAGGGTCAACGAATTCCCCCGGAAACAGGTTTTTCGAGTGAAAAAGAGGCAGTGGCTAACAGGGCCCCTACAGTGGCCGTGCCAGAGGCCCCTCGCTGCAGGAAGGCACTGCTCTCACCAAAGGTTTGGGGCAGGGGTCCAGAGTGCTTGAGTCGCAGTATTGGGGTTCACAGAGGTTTGACTCATGGGGTCCCCCTACCCCACCACCTTCCGTCCTGAGAGAGCCGTCACCAAATTGCCCAGAAAGAGCAAGTGACCGGGGGCTGTCATGAATCCATGAGGACAGAAGGGGAACCTCCATGGCAGAGCTGGGGGGGGGCATTGGTTGTCCTGATGTCTTTGGGAGCAGTCACCCGTGGGTCTCCTTCCAGGGAAGGTAAACTAGAGCCCATTAGGAAACTGAGCGCTCTCCAGCTCTGGGCAAGCTGTCAGGGCCAGGCAGGTGAGCTGGGTCTCTCCCCACTTCGCGGAGGGAGGGCGGGAGGCAGGCCGCTTTTCCCACTGCGACCCCTACAACTCTCCTTTCTTTGCCCCCTCAGACCTTCTAGCTTTACACCACCCAGGGCTGCCCCCCTCCTTCCCCAAGTCCCAAGACAAAGCCCCGATTTCCAAGATTCTAAAGGAAAATCCCTCCATCGTTACCGTTTTTGTCTATCCCCTGCCTCTCTCTCCTCATTCTTTCTCTTTTTCTCGGCTCTTCCCCCTCTCGTCCTGCCTCAGTCTTCCCATCTGTGGGCTAATGGAGGCGGTGGAAGGAGCAAGGGGCTCACGGAGCGGAGGTTCCCTTCTCACGCCTGCTTCCCACTTCTTCCCCCTGTTCAGTAAGATGCTCATTAACCTGGGGAAGGGATTCCAGTGGTAATGTCCGCATAGACGTCTCTGCACCGGGGGACGCCCAAAGCCACCATCTGCTGAGCGCTGCTAACCCCCAAATCCTGGGGGGTATTTACAAGGTGAGAGGAGTGGTTGGGAGTGGAGGGGATGGGCTCCCCGAGCCTTTTGCTGCGGTGTGGAGTTTGGGGAGGACTCTGTCCCGCCCTGCCCTTCCCAGCCAGCAGCCAGAGCCTGAGGGGCCATCTGGCTCGCTCTCTTTCCTGCCTGTCAAAGTGGAGCCCCAGCATCTGTGGCGGAGCCGCCAGCGCGCCCCGTCGGCTGGGCCCTCCCAAGGCTGGGCCTGGGCGCGCCCGCGCCCCCCTTCCCGGAGCCCTCCACCTCCTCCCAGAGGCCCCGGCTGAGCTCACCTCGGAGGGGCCGGGTCCTCAGAGGGCCTCCCGGCGCCCCCCGCCCCGCCCCCCGTTTTGCACTCAATGGGGGCGCTCTGCGTTTGATCCTGAGCTCTGGGTTTCCCCCGCTAGATGAAAGCGGGGTGGGGTTGAGAGATCAAGAGGCGCCACTGGCGTCCGCTTCCTGGGTCCGGCCCAGCTGAGGGGGGCTGCCCCTTGCGCCCCGGGAAGGAAGGAGGCACAAGCTCGGACACAGCCTCTCCGGGAGGGGGGCCGCGTCCTCTGGGCTTCGGCTGTGAAGCTTCAGGGGCCCCCCACCCGTCTGCAGACTCCCGCCTCCGCGCTTTCAAAGGCGCCCCGACTTCCCCCGCGTTAGGGGCCTATTGCGACCCCCGGGCACAGGAGGGAATCATTTTTAACCAAATGTCACATCTAAAAGCATCCTTTCGTCAACATCACGTGAAGAGAGACCGGATTTTTAGCAGGAGGAAAGAGAAAATAGGAGGGGACTGGATGGAAACACTTTCTGGGTTTTTCGGGGTGGGGGTTGGGGGTATTTTAAAAGCGGGGTTATCGCCGTGTCTTGAAGGTTCTTCCCAGCACCGATGGAGAAGGGAGGCAAGTTCGTAGAGGGAGTGTCGCCGGCAGCCCCCTAAAACCGGAGAGGGGGTGACAGAGCCACCGAAGCGGGGTCCGGCCCAGCCCCCACCGCTTCTCACCTCCCCCGGCCCGGCGGACCCCTGCCCGCGACCGCCGGCCTGCTGTCCCCTCCCCGCTGGGTGACAGGCTTAGTTCCCGGCGGCTCCTCTGGGATTGAAATTCTCGGGACTTCAAAAGCTCGCGGCCCCGCTTCCTCCGGGCCGGGCGGGGCGGGGCGGTGGGAACCCCGCGCGGCGCGGAGACGGGGAGCGCGCCCTGTTAGAGGGAATCGGGGCCCGGCCTCCAGAAGCGCCGACCCGCTGGAGTCGCTTT